AAACTGTCCACAATCTAATAAGGAAAGGATCAAGATGAAGGCTTCCATGCCCATGATTGCCACCAGGTATTCCCCAGGGACTGCAAAGCAGCAAGGTCAAGTGGCTATTGTTCCCTCCGTTTCATTGTGCAGAACAGTACGATAGACAAAGTTTTTGCCTCTCCACATTGGCACCCAAACTGCTCTCCCGCAAGAAAAAATAAAACACTCTAATTGTCTTTATTACTTTCAGACATTGGCCACCAAACACAGATGTTCACTATTGAGGATTAAACGAAGGGGAAAAGGTCACAGGGACCCAGATCAGCTTGATCCTTCTTTGGATTATTTGGCCCCTTTGTCTTGAATGGTCCTTATCTTTGAAGAAGAAAATAATATTTAGATTGAACAGAGAAGTGAATAAATCCCTGTGGGTCCATTTTTGGGGGTAGAGCTCCTGCCTGGGAAACCACCCATTAAAAAAAGGGAACTGTGCTCTGCCTCAAATCTTGGAGATTTCCTATCTTTAAAAATCTTTGGCCAAAATAATTCCATCTTGAAAGCAAGAGTGCTACTATCCAAGAAATGAAAAAATCTTTTCTTCCTTCCTTAACACAGGACTTTCATGACAAGGAAAATTCAGGAGAAAATGTTGTGGTGTATGGGGCACTCCCATATTGTGAGTGTGTGTGTGTGTGTGTGTGTGTGTGTGTGTGTGTGTAAACAGCCCTAAATACAACCCCCACCAAAAAAGTTCTCTCAACTACTTTCCTGGCAGAATAATTTACCTAGAAGGGTAACATGTACACAAAATTCATCCTGGTCCAACGTTGAGACTGATACCAAAATCAGTGCTGGCACTTCTCAGAGTGGGGTACAGGATGAGGGGTGGCTGGCTAATAGGTCACTGAGATTTGATTTGGTTTTATGCTTGTTTTGTTTGTACTGACTGGGATTTCCCCAACCATTTTGTACCACCCTTCCTGCCCCTTTCCAAGCCTAGAACTCTCAACAGTTCAGCAGAAAAATCCACCTCTGTGTATAAATTATCAAAAATCCAATTTCCTTGGAATCTTGGATTATAGTCGCACTCACTTTGCCCACTTGAACAGCCACAAGTCTTTACTCCAATTGGGTGTTTCCCAGCTGCCTGCCTCTAATTGCACATCCTGATGCAGAGTTCTGGAGCTTAGAACTAACTGGGCTGACCTGACCCTCCACCTCAGTCTACATATGCGGGCCTGATTTGGGTCCTAGTTTCCACCCCTGAAAGACTTTCAAGCCCAGTCTGTCAAGTTCCCTGTCCCACATTTCTGTATCCCACTATTCACGTGCCTCCTTTTCTTGGCTATTTGATAAAAGGGCAAGTCAGAACATTTGGCTGTTCCATAGGACAGACTCTGACCTCCCTAAAATATCCTACGCACATATGTCATGATCATGCCCCCCTCCCAGTTAAGTGCATTGGCTAATGACATCTGACAGCCACATCCTTGAAATGCTTGCTAATATCTCCGTGAGCAGGCATGTCCAGCACGTTAACTGGTGGTCGAGTCACAGATGACTGCCAGAGCTGCCCTGCGTGCTGCCTGGGCACGTCACGCTTTGCTAAGTCCACTGGCTATTATGCTGCTTTATTTATTTATTTATTTATTTTTTTAAAGAACATTTTTATGCAGAGGCCTCTCCTGGCAGCAGGTGCAACCCCTTTTGGGGTTTGGACCCCTCTGGCCAGAGTTACGGCTCCAGAAGGCTGCAGCCTTTGGGAGAGAAGAAAAAGGTGGGGGGCACAAGTAGGGTGGGCAGGAACCAATAGATTTTGAACAAGGAGCAAAAAGTCGCGGCCTGACCTTGCTAGCTTCTGACCAGAGTGGAACGTGCTGAACTTGTGTGGCAAAACTGCTCCCTCACTCTCAGCATAAACAGCTTGTCCACGAGGCAGTAGTTTGCAACTCTGGGCCTTGACCCCAGAGCTCACAGCAGAAACCCTGTGGGGAGGGCAGGAGGAGCCCCGGGCCCTTTCCGCAACTAGAACGCCCTCCCCGCCCGCCACCCGGCACCGCAGCACGTGCGCGCGCCCGCGCCCTGCAACCGCCAGAACGCGCCCACTCTCGGGCAGCGGCTCCGCGTAGGTGTGCTCTGCGCCGTCTGGGGCGGCGCACTGGTGGTACGTGCGCTCCCAGACACTGTGCCAGGGTGTGAGTGTCAACGCGCGCAGCCGTCAACGCACCGCCGTCTGTAGCTGCGTTTGGAAAACGTGGGGCAAAGGCGGTGGGACTGCGCTAACCTATGACCTGGAGAAGGGTCAAGGAGGGTCTCGAGCGGAGAAAGTGGGTCCGGGGAGACGTTTAACTGACCTCATCCTAAGAAAGCCTTGAGGTTTATGAGGCCTGTTTTTAAAATAGTGGCTGCCAAGGAAATGAAAAAGTTCACCCCAAGAAAGCATGAAGAAAGCATAGTTGCAAGAATGCTGTGTCTGACGAAACACAAATCAACGCGGAGATTGTGATGGGAAATACGGACAACGTGAGCTTGCGATAGAAACAAGGAAACAAAGTCAAGAAGGAAAAATGAGTTTTCCTCTTCGGACTTCGCCCCACCCCCTCGCCTCGCAATTCCTCCCTTCCCCAGGAGCCCAAGATTTTCGCGGGGAAGCTGGGGAGGGGTGAGCACTCCCTGTCACTGGTCCGTCCGCCAGGGTCTTCCCTAAGTTAAATGAGACTCATTGGAGTGCGAAGGAATACATGTAAATAAACAACTTGGAAGATTTATTGGAAGGAGCTCAGTTTTATAGGACTGTATTTATAGAGCCAGGGCTGGCTCACTTATAAATAGATTAATGGGAAACTAAAATTAATGGACTTGTGAGCTGAACGTTTAATTTCTGAGGTTTCAACATGACAGACAACCGCCCTCAAAGTCCAAGCTTGGAAGGTAGATTCTGTCAGGGAGTCGAGAGGCTCCTCAAGAAGGTACAGGTCCCTTTGGGCCGGCATTTCTCTGGTGGCTCTAAGCCCAAGTTGCCCGGGGTCCCTAGGAAGAGACCCCACAGGGCTGTTATTTGCAAATGAAGAAAAAGAATGTGGTCTCATAAAGAAATAACAGGGTCTTCTTCCTAGCATTATTTTTAATCAGGGCCCTTAAGCCGCTAATGCTGGCGTGCGGGCTTCTGTAAACCCGCTCACCGGAGCCAGGGAGCGGAGGCAGGAACACCTCCTCCAGGGTCACGGAGTGTCCTCGTGCTGGGCCCGTGGTCTGGGTCCATGGCCTAACTGTTCCAGCTGTGGCTCGTTCTTCACGCCCTCCCAGCCTGGTAAGACAGTAACAAAGAGGCCAAGGAGCTGGGACAGGCAGCCCAGGACCATTTTGTCACCCAAGGCTGTCTCAGGCTTGGCTACCCCTTTCCCATTTTTTCCTTTCAGCCCTTTTCTCCAGTCCCCCCCCGCCACACCCCACATTCAGGCCCTTCAAGAAAGACCTTGAGTTTTACCTAAAAACTGTGATTGTCTCAGATCCTCTGCTTATCCAGTGGTGGTGGGAAGGGGGCAGTCTGTAAGTTACCTGTGGGATAATAGATGGCAGGTCTATTTCTCCAGAGATAAAACTAACCCTTCTGTACAAAAATTTGCCATAGGACATGGAAATTACTCACCACCCCTCTGTATAATCCCAGTGGTAACCAAACCCCTCACTCTCCAAAGGGCAAATGAAAAGGACACTCAATGTAATACAGTTGAACCAGAGACAAATACTTATACCTATTTTCTTTCTAGATAAATGGATTGCATACCCTCTTAATTACACTTCCCTTCGTTTTCTGTCCTTTCTACTTGCTTTCCTTTTGGGAGAGGTGAGGGGAGTTTTCTTTGATTCAATCACTTGTAGTTCTAGCCATGATATGCACCCCCTTTTTTAATTAATAAGGAAGCCATGAAATGGGAAATCTCACTTAAAGCAAATTACATTGTCCTTTCTGTATTTCCCAACAGGGAAGTCCAATTGGGAATGATTACCTGAAAAACAGAAAATTGATATAGAAAGCATATTATTAAATAACTGTGCATCAACAATATGTTAAATACTCTCATAATCTGGGGTTATCAAGATTTAATTTTGCTGATTATCCTCAAATGAATATACATAATGCTGTTTCTGCTTTTTATAAACTAGCTAATGTTGATGTTGGAAAGGACCTAAGGAGGCCCACATTTTATAGATAATGACCTTGAGTTACAAAAGGAAAGAATGACTCGTCCAAACTGTGTAACATCTTGGACAACTTTATTTTCCTAGCCTCAGGGAAGACACCCAAGCCTTGGGATGAAATACAGATTGAGATGTTTGATCACTGCAGCCCATTAACCCAAATGAGAAAAGCTCTGGCTTCTCTAAGTAGCCTCTGAACCTAAGATGAGAGCCAGCCTCCTAAGACAGCTATGCTTTTCCTCTTCCGGGTCAAGGGAGCTTTTCTTCATTTGTTTATGGAAGGCCTTGCACTGCTGGTGAGGTCAGGGTTGGGTTCAAACCTGAAGTGAGCCAGTTGACTCCTCCAGAATCCAAGGTGTGGAGTGCAGCATCTCTCCTGAACCATCTTCTTTAAGGAACCCTGTGCCAGAATACTGTGCTACTAGCAGCAGGGAGGAGAGCATCATCTCTGGCTTGCATCCAGAGCCCTTTAGTGACTGGGACATGTAACTAAATTTACTTACTGGAAAGTAAATTTGATGCCTCATTTCTCAAAAGGGCAAAATAAAGTGAGTGATAAACATGAGCTTTTATTTTGAATCTGGTGAGAAATAGGAGAGTTTGGGATTTAAAAAAAATTTTAAAAGTATGTAGTGAAAACAAAAGTGTCCATTCTTCTGAGAAGCAAAATTTATTGTATTTATGATGTAACAAAAACATTGTCTATGTTTTGATGAGGGGGAACAAAAAGAAGAAACTTCTTGGCTATAGTTGTTTTTTTTTTCTGTTTGTAGAATTAAACAATATCCATATATCAAAATTCAAGAAACTGAAGATGAAAACGCAACAAAAACACAATGATCTTTTATTTATGTAAATCAGATCAACACTGGACAATAAACCAATTTCTACCCATTACCATTAACAGTTTGTCTATAAAGAACAGAAAAATTCAGATAGCATTCTATCTAGGGTCAAGCGTTTTGTTTTTTTTTTACCACCCATTCACAGAGGTATAGATTCACAGATAAATAATCCCAAACTACTTGCTCGCCATATTTACACATTCCCATTAAATTAAGCATAAATAAATATATACAAACTTAACATGGATACCTTCCAGAGCTCTTCTCCTGAAGAGTCAATAGATTGATATTTCTTGATTGTGTGGCAAAACAATGTCAGTGAACTAGAGACCAACTCAACAGAGGAGTCAATTTTGGCATTTAAAGAATAGTTTTCAGTCTACTTTTAAAAGAAAACAAATGAATTTTTATATTTTTCTTCTGTCTTTTTCCCCCTGACAATTTAACAGGCATTGGCCCAGGAGGGAAAAACACCATTTGGGTTCTTGAGGCAACATTGGATGGTTTAAGTTATTTCCTTTCCATATAATGTACCGTGCATACAGCATATCAGATTTGATGACAAATGCTCTATAAACACTCTCAGTCAGAATGTGTTGCCCTTTTAAGTAAGGCTTTGTACTGGAGGAACAGTGTGTAGGTAACTTCAGGGTTTCAGGATTTCCATTTGACCAAAATTTTCTTAGGATATGAAATAATTGCTTGAGAGAAAGTGTTTTCCTCAGCCAAAGAAAATAAGAGTCCGGTGTTTGAAAAGCCTCCTAGGTTCTTCATGTGGGGGGTGGAGAAAGCTAAGGATGTGGAACCTGACAGGAGGAGAGAAAATGCAAGATAACTGGGGCAAGGCAGGGGTGGGTACCTCCCCAGTTTCCGGGAGAAGTTCAAGATTTCTTTGACATAGAATCCTCACCCAGCAGCATCTTTTTTTGCGGGGGGGAGGAGGGGGAGCTCCCAGTGAGACTCACAGTTCCTGTAGGAAGAGGCAGTGGTGGGCACAGAATGGTCAGAAGACCTGTAAAACCTCCAGAGGAACTTGCAAAGTGGAATGTGGGAGGGCAGCACTGACACACATCCTGACTCCTTTCTATCTTGAGCCATTTTGGTTTGAGACCAGGCATTTGGGAAGGGCACGGGGCTGTCTAAATTGTCTAAAAAATGGAGGGTGGAGCGAGAGTGGCAGTTCACCTGCTTGGTTTGAAAACGAAGCTCAAAAAGGCTTGCTTTAAATGTTTCCCTTTATTTAAAAGGCCAACTCTTGAGTTAATCCTGTTTATTGATTTATGGGCCCAAGAAAACCAAATCTTTTAATAACTCAATTGTGAGATAAACATAGAGGGCCTGGCTAACGAAAACAACAGGGGCAGAGGTGTTACATAAAAGAAGTGAGGGAAGGTGAGGAGCCAGTGGGCTGCCACCACTGGGGTCATGGTGGGGCGGAGGAGACCCGCACTCAGCTCCACTTCGCTGGATGGGGTGGCGGGACGCACAAATGAATGGCGAAGGGCCACGGAAGTCTTCGTAGCCAAGTAAGACCATTTCTATCCCATCACCTGCCTTTAGGAGCCTGAGGATGGAGAGAGTTTTCGTCCTGGCAAAGCCGGGGGAAGCTTCTGGTTCTCTCGACATTTCTAGGGCACTCGCCCTCCTGGAGCAGGCGCCCCGGGGTGGCCGCTGGTAGCAAAGGGCCTGGGCAGCGCTGAGACCCCTCTCCGCCTGCAGCCCTTGGGGCGCCGCCCCATTACCTACTGGAGAATGGGGCTATCTCGGTCGCCTTAGCCCTTAAGATCAGACCGAGAGCAGCAAAGGCCCACGCGGCCCGTGGCCCCTGCAGCGGCTGATTCTATGTCCTCAACACGACTGGGCGCGAGTGGCCCCCACGCTCTCAGGACCTGCACAGTAAGAGCAAGGCGCGTCCATCGCGTCCCTCGCACGTCACACGCGTGGGGCGCGTTGCCCTGCAAGGAAAGGAGATGATGGTTTTCAGTGTGGTTTCTCCTGGCCTTTCGCAATCAGAATACATCTAATGCAAACGGCCAGGCCCTCAGACTAAGGCGCAGGCTTCTGAGCTGGAGAGATGGAGTGTCTACATTCTCCATAAGGTCTAGTTCCCGACCTTGGTACTGCAACTCTTCTAGGGCTGAGCCTCCCAAAGGAGCTGGCGGTAAATAGGCAGAAGTGAGACACTAACCTATGCTTTGGCCCTCCTGGTGACCTGAAACCAGCTCACTAACTCCCTCCCTTATAAAAATGTCAGCGCAAAGATCTCAACACGTTCCTAAACCAAACCCTCCACACCACCCTCCCCCTGCCCGCCCACCAAGCCCAAGACCCATCTGGGTGGCAGAACTGAAAGTCCCAAGAGGGTCTTTCCTGTAAGCCCTGTGGAACAGATATCTGGGTCTTTATCTTCAAGGGATGTTGCAAAGGCCCTAACTTCTACTTTGTATAAAGAGGTGCGGGTATGGATACTAAATTTAGAGACCTAGCTCCCCCCGCCCCCCCTCACCTGGGGATTTCCCACTGCTTTTGGGAGGGCGGGGGACAATGGGTTCCAGATCTTATTTCATGATAAGGCTCAGGTGAAGCCCCAGAAAGGAGCAGGGCTGCCAGAAGTGAGAAATATTAAATGCATGAAACTTTACTTACTGGGAATAGTCCCAGTGTATCCAGACAGTAAATTCAAAGCTGAAATACATCTTCTTTCACTTTGCATTATTTTACCATTATATGCCAAAACAAGTGCACGCCGGGGGGTGGGGTGAAATGCCTCATTCATAGAGCATCTTGTAAGGAAGCAATTTTTGCTTAGACACGGAAGCTTGCACCACCCTTCTCCCCATGACCACTCCCAAAGCTGCTTATTTGCCCGCCAAAACAGCAATCGCCAAAGAGCCCAAGGAAATAGAATCCATTTTAATGACAAGGTAATATTGTTAAAATATTGAACTCCAAGAACCCTTATTTTTCTTCCCTAAAATTCATTTTGCAGCTCACCCTGTCCCCCAGAACTTTGTGTTGAGGTATCTGTTAGCAACTAGACTCAAAGCTGCTTCAATCTCTTATTGGCCACTTCTAAATTATTCCCTTTGAGCTTCTTTAAAGAAGTGCACCTGCAGAATGCTGACACACAGGCTTTGATTAAAAAGGGATCAGATTTTTTTTTTTCTCTGTACCTTATAGTTTGTGTAGGAAGCCCCAGTCCTCTTTGAAGAAGCTCATAAACCATGCGGGCAAAGCTTTGGAAAACAGAAGAGAATTGAAATGGTACATACCCCTCCGAAGGAATTACATACTAATCAACGTATTCATATTTTTTTTTACTATTATACTCAAAATGGGTAGATGACACAAATATTATAACAAATGCGAGATTCTCTGTATGCCGATGCTGGCAAGGCTGGGAACTAGTAACATTTCTGAAAGGAACTGATGATGAGTCTGAATCAACTTATTGGTCCGGATTCTCCTCAGCTGCGGAAGCCTCTGCCTGGCAGCGCCACCCAAAGCTGCAGCCACCGCCTGCATCTCCGCGGACCTCCTGCCGCGCCCGCCCTCGCCCTCCCTAAGTGTGCGCACTGCCGCCGGGCGGGCTGGGGGTGGGGTGGGGGGGAAGCTGGGCACCGGTGAGTTTAAAACGCGGGCGGGGCGGGACCGAGGCGACTGAAATACAACGCAAAAGGGCTAACCACACTCGCGTTCATCCCGGAAGATTCCCGTGACAGCTTGAGGAAGGGAAGGCAACGTAGAAAAGGGTACTTGGAAGAGGAGTGAGGTGAGGGGAAAGGGCAGGGACTGCGAGACAGTATCCTAAAAAAATATTAAAAATTAAAAAGTTCGTGCGTCTCAGTCAACGAGCTGTCAAAGCACTGACACCAACAGTTCTCCGATTTTCTTCCAATAAGTTAGCGTTTTCTCATGTTTAGTCTTACGTTTATTTTCCAAAGGGAAAAAAATCATGGTTTTCTTTTTTATTATCAGTATTACTAAGCTCGAAAGAACCGTAGTGGACAATCCGGACGGTTGTCTCCAAGTGTATCTTGAAATAGACACTGAGAACCGATACTGTTGCTCCGTTGTGCGCCTCAGTTTTTAAGTTACTTAGCTTTTTTGTTTTAATTTTGATTGTATGTGTATTCTACCTAATATAATTCTTCCAAAGCCAATCCAATATTTTAAAGCTAAAATTATTTTTTTCTGTTTTCCTTTTGTATTTAAAACATTTTTTTTTCCTTTTAAACATTTTTCATTTCCTGTGTTTCTCCTCCTTGTCGCCAGTTTTACTACCTGGGCCTTCCCCAGACGTGTGCCTGTTAGTGGTGGTGTTGTTCAAGAACATCTTGTCCATGCCTTTGAGCGCCTCGGTGAGATAGTTCTGCAGGGCCGTGAGCGCGGCGCAAATGGCCGGGGCGCCGAAGCCGTGCGTGATGAGGCTGAAGTGCGTGAGGCAGCTCTGGATCCCGGGCTCCAGGATAGGGCTGGGCCTGCTGTTGCCTATGGGCGTCCGGTCCTGAGCCAGCAGATCTGTAAATTCTTTACAAAGTTGCCTGCAGAGGGGTGGGAGAGGAACAGGAAAAAAAAATCACCCTTAGTGTCCTTGTCATTGGCATTAGAAAGGGGAAGCTCACACAAGCCCAGAGGCGCTCGCTCACCGTAGAGCCGAAGAGCGAGGCTAATGTGAGCGATTCCGCTCTGTTTCCTCTGCCAGCGCTCGCCCTTCTAGAGCAGCTGGGGCTGGAAGGAAAGCAAGCCGGGGTGGGGAGATTATGCACCCCTCTCATCCCAAAGTCTAGCAGCCCCTACCCTCCACCTTCCAGTCTTTTTTCCTTCATTCCAGGACCGTATAACTGTGCTTTGGGAAATCCGCTAGGCTTTGGCAATTGATTTTGAATATTCAGTAATTTTTTAGCTCTAACCTGGCAGTTCATTTAAAAGCCCTTTCTCCTCCTCTCCCTTGCCTCTCTTGGTGATCAGGCTCAAAAAGCCTTGAAAGATTTAGGCCCCTCGGCCACAAGCCTGTCCCTAGCACAGAAGCAGATTGCTGGAGCCTTGCATGGCCCAGGGCAAGCAACTGTTTATTGCAGAAGAGAATGCTGATTCCATTCAAAGCAAAAATCTGTTTACCTGCAGTATTTGGGAAGGGAGGCATTCCCCTCCCCCACCTTTTTTTCTTTCAAGTGTAGGTGACTGAAAATCTTTGTACAACAGAATTGTTGTCAATATAAAAGGATTCCTACATTGTTTAAATAAAACCTAAAGGTAGATGGTTAAGACACAGGGGAGGGTAGATTTTTATTTGTTTAAGTTTTTTTTTATTTCCTCAAGGCACCTACCATTTAGAGGAATCTCCCAGCCTTAGAAATCCTGTGGGCCTAACTATGGATTGGGCTTATTTGAGAAAGTTTTAATATAAGCGGTGGACAGGAGAATTTTAGCCCTGAAGGTACAATGGCTTCACTCTGCCGGCAGTCAGAGGCATGGCATCCCAAAAGCCACAGCCTTTTACCAATTGGCGGGCTCATCCCCTCAGCCTGCCGCCATCAGTGGTGGGTGGTGAGAAAAGAAAAACTACAGAAGTCCAGTCCCAGGCCCCCTTGGGATAACCTGACACCTGGTGACACCTGGCCTGGCCAACACGTAACAGGGGCAGGCACCTGGAGGCCAATATGAGTGACCTTCAGGCATCCTTTCCCAGGAGATTACCACCAGGAGGAGGAATGGCTAATTTAGAGAATACCTCCTCCCCCACCCCCAGGTGCAGCAGCTGAACGATTTTTGGTTTTAAGGCTGGTGGGTAAAGAACACTAACAAGCATCCTCTCTCTACCCTCTTTCCACTGGTGTCTCCATTCAAAATGCACACATACATCCTCACACCCAGGAAGAAACTGGTAACAGTTGTGACCTAAAGAGGGCGCTTCTTAAATCAGAGGTACCTCAGAATCACCTGTGGGGTTCCAATGTACACATCCAGGCCTCCACCGCTACTGATTCCAATTCGGGAGGCTTGGGTCTAGGTTCACAAATAAATATCTTGAAAAAGCTCCCCAGATGATTCTGACACTCACCCCAGGTTAACAAGTGCTGGCCTAAGAGAGAGCCACAAGGTTTCAAAGGTGAAAGTTACAAGCCTTCCTTAGGGAAATGTCATTTGTGGAATTCTGTCGTCTAATTTACACAGTTTGGTTTTATTCCGCACCCCCCCCCAAGTACCTTTACCGTTTTATAAGGCACCAATTGGTCCCCCACCACCAGACACCAGGGTAGGGAGCAGGAAGGCAATTTACTGACAAAGATCTATTATATTTCAAGTGTTACATCAGAGGAAAACCTTGTAAAAACAGGATGGGTGCCAGGTTTTGATCGTTGGAAGAGATGGTTAAAGTCTTTCCTTAAGTTTGTACTCATTACCGAAGTGCCAAAAAGGAAATTCTGAACTGGGGAGAACAAATGCTTAGAGTCAAACATTTTAAATCTTCAAAGCCCAAACCAGGGTCTGTAAGCAATTAAAGTTCTGGGACATTAATATTTTTTGACCCTGCGGAAAGGGGCAATCAAATTCCAATCACGTCTCAAAAACATCTGGACAAATTTGAGCAAATGATTTTTCAGCCTTCCATATATTTCTTTAAATTACGCTGTCAACGGAACAAACCGCGTCCTCCAGCACTAAATAAATGAGCGCCGCTGTTTGGGCCGCGCCTGCAAGAGAAACGTGCGGGCGCACGCAGCGCCGCCCACTGCAGGCCTTCGCTGGCCATAAAACACCAACAATATGACACGGAAGCCAAAGACAGGAGTAAATCAAATAAATAGAAAACCCACTGTAAAAGTTCAAATGAGCTCTAGACCTAAATTTAGCCAGAGATTTACTATTTTCCCCTCTGGAGTTGTAGTAAATTTTATGTCTGTGGAAGACGCCAAACTGCAACGTTGGAAAGAGTAATTAGAGCTGCGGGTAGGGATGGGCACACGTGGGTGACATAAAGACACTCGAGCGAGCACACGTGGCTGTGTGGTGGTGAGACAGAGAGGTGAAACCCAGGCAGAAATATGCATGTAGATATCCATGGAATAACTTGAATAAGACCCACCTGGAAAAGATCTGCCTGATATCCCCAAGGTTGGAGATGAGAAATCTAAAAAGTCTGAATTCAGTTCGTAAAGCCATCCTCCTCCAGAAACTTGGAAAAGAGGAGGCAGAGATAAACCCACAGCCCACAATCAACTGGCGGGGGGCAGAGGCCGGATGGGGTGAGCTGGGGGGAAGGACAGCGGGCTGAGAGGGAGGACTTCCTAGCCAGCAATAGACAGGCTGCCAGCCAGTGCTACTTCTACCGCTGATCCCTCTCTCTGCCCAAAAAAGGAGGTCGTCTGCACTGCCCTGCCCTCCGCCTTCTCCCAAGCCAGGTGAGTCAGTAGGGTAGAAGTATGGGATTTTCGACACTCACTTGGTGGCCAGCAGCATATTCTTTCGGGAGTGCAGGTCACTGGGGTCCGTGTGCTGCCGGTTCAAATACTCGGAAACAGCTTTGGCAGGAAACTCTGTTTCGCAGATGTACCCAAAATCCCGAGCTAAGTGAACAGCTTCTCCTGAAAAAATAAAATAAAATAAAAAGCAGCAGAGGTAATAATCAGCACTCAGTCCCTCATCATCCCTGGGCAGGAAAGGCTCCCTGGTCAATTATTATTTACAGAAGAAACCAACTATTGGGGGTGGGGGGAGCAAAGGTGTGACAAATGCCTGAAATAAAAATGATTCTCAGGCTGTAGTTGAAGTTGATAGAAGAAACTTTGCTCCTGCTTCTCTTTCCACACTCTCCCTGATCATCCTTTCAGCCAAGTCCTAGTCTGACATTTCCTGAGTAGCTTCAGGTCTCCCACACCCAGTGCTTTGTCTTAAGGGTAACTGGATCGATATATCCAGGAGCCACCTTAGGAATGCACCTAGACACTGGGATAGATATTCAAGCCAGATACCACTTTCTTGGTAGCATCTGTTATACCATTTTAAATAAATGTAAAAGTCTTCCTATCTTTTGTATATTCCTGTAATTGTATTAGAGGAAAATATCTTATTAATAACTAATATATTCAAACATAAATTTGTATGTATAGATGTCTACATATATTAAAGATTATGTGTAAAATGTATATGGAATGAGTATTTTTAACCAGCAGTGAAATATTTATTTTTCCTTTCCTTTTACTAGCTAGTTAGTTTTCAGGTTTCTTTTCAGAGTTCTCTGTCATCATCCTCCTACTTAAGGACTTTCTACTATACAAAGGTGACATGGCAGTGATAGAAAACTTAGATATCTGAGAGATTCCTCAGCTTATGTGGAAGCCTCTCTCATATAAGGCATTATTACCCTTTAAAGCACAGCCTCAGGGATTCCAGGGAAGATCCCAAACATGAGAAAGAAATATGTTGAATTATCCCACAGCTACATTATTTTTAAGGACCATATCTCACTTTAAATCATCATTATGACAGTAACAACAAAAGACTTCAGACATGGTGCTTAGAATAATTCATAAAACTGAAAACTGGCAACAAAATATGGGAATTTCAATTTCCTCCCTTCTCCATCCAAATCTTTGTCTTGGGCTGAGATTACCTTGACTGCTTTTCAAAATGGATATTGTGATATTACCAATTCCCTGAAGGGTGAAAAGTTAAACCCCCAGGCTGAGAGTCGACTACTAATAAGTGTGGTCTGGATATTTAGTGACTGTCGCCCCTGGAGAGGAAGTTTGGGCCAGGTAACTTTGCCTTAGAGCTGGCAAAATGCAGTGCCTATACACGTGAAGACTTCATAGTTGCTGCTTAAATATTCTAACATCTCTTCCTCCAAAAACCAGGTCCCCAGAGGAGTGTCATAATATCTCACCCACGAAAACAGAAGGAAAAAACTTACCTGTTAGACTCTAGAGATAATTCTACAACTTCCTCCATTAAGGCTATCTGGCTGTATTTCCTATCTTTTCCCCATCCCACAAATTCAAAAGCAGATCCTCTTGGTCTCAACGGTGCAGGAGGACCTCTTTATTAGATACTATAAATATCATCCCCAACCTCAAAAGGATGAGCAAATCACACTGTGTTTGTTATAATTATGTCCCTTTAATTGACAACTGATGAATCTACACTGAAGATCATACATGACTCCCTCCATGTTTCTTCACCTCCCACCCAATCTTCTAGGCATCATGGGCCTTACTAAATTGTATTTCAATAACAATAAGTCCCACTTAATCAATCAGCAGGATATAGGGCTCTGGGAGTGACAGGAGTTTTAAAACAGCCATTAGGGATTATGAATGTAATAACAGTTTCATAAATAGACAATGTGTTTTCCACTACTGATGCAGAGGTAAAATGTGGGGAGGAGAAGTGGTACACAATAGATTGCTGTTTACAGTTACTCTTGCAAGAGTTCAGAGGGTATTTCAGACACTCTGTTTTGTACCTGGCCACAGAAGTGACCCCTGTACTGGCTTGGATGCTGGACCTGAGTACTCTTCACAGCAAAGGGACCTTCACACACTCCTTTGGCCTCCCTACAATTGCTGGCTTCCTCTAAGTAAAAAGACCTTTGAACTTCCCTCACACAGTCACTTGACACCCACTCACAAGGGCACAACAATTGCAATGATTTCCAGTTAATCATGAAATGTGTAAAATGTCAGTCTTCAGCTGACAGTTAAGCTCAGCTGCTTCGTGAAATGGCCACACGTCTTGCTTACCTTCCACCAGGGAGGTGAGTAACGTGACATTTGCTGCTTTGCGCCTGCCCGCGGGTAAATTCAAACCGATTTTTTCTAGCCTTTCTCGCAAAGATCTCCCCCCATTTTTCGATTTGGCTCTGAAATTGCAAGAATTAACATTCTGATTAACCTCCCAGTGTTCCTGAAACAAAGTTTAGGCTTAGCAATCTAAAGCCCAGTGGAGCTTGAAGAGGTTTTAACTTGAGGTTAGCACATTTCCTCCGCCCTCCCTTCCTTTTGGTTATTTGCTGATAGTTTGCTGAGGTTTGCTTAATTTCTGCAATACAGAGCATTTAAAAAATCGAGTGTTTTCTTTTTTTATCTCATGAGAAAAATGATAGCAGATGGGAATAATTACTGTGTAGGTTGTGGGTCTAGAGAAGGTAGAAGTTGCACGTGCACACACACCAGCTCTTTCCTTGTCACAGAGCAAGTTAGGTGAGCAATAACTGGGCGAGCACAACCGTGCAGAAAAGAGGAAAGGACTGGGTGGTTCAGAGACTAGAAGGCACTAGCTGAAACAGGTGGGCTTTGCAAGGAAGAGGTCAAGAGTCGCTATAAAAGGGAGTCGGGTTAAAAGGGAAAGGAAGACTGAAACATGAAACTAATGGTGATGGTAATCGTAACTGTAAAACTAACACTTTAGGGAGTTTAGTTATGTGATAAGCACTTTATATTATCTCACTTAATCTCATAGCAAGTTTTATGTACACACGCTCAAGGCCTGGGGGTGATTGAAAGAAACTTCCATACTCAGGGGCTCAAAGGACTCACTTGAAAACTGAACCAAAGTGGAGCACAGCTAGAGGAAGCAAAGTGAGAAAAGCCTGTGGATCACACCCTTACTTCCTCCCAAGGATCTCCCTTGGCAAAGGTGCTAAGGTGGGGCAAAAACACAAGAAAAGAACCAGTGACTGGGACCTCTCTTTCTGTACTATTCCCAGAGCCACTTTTAGGATAAAAAGGGAGTAGCCCTTTCAATACCTGAAATAGGCTACCTAGAAAAGTCCACCTCATACAATGTCACCTTCATATCAGGGACACTAACAAAGAGTTCAGGAGTTGGCAGGGACTTTTAGGGAAGCTTTAAATTCTAAGATAAAAGCCATTGCCTCCTCCATTTTCCACAAGTAGTTTATGGACTGTTTTCCTCCAATACTGGGGAGCATCTCAATGGTCCCAAGGAATAACAATTAATACTTCTAAAGTGATATTGTTTTTATTGGAGACAGTATTGCTGAAGAAAGGAGGTCGCAAATCTGGAACAGTGTTTTCCAAACTGTGGAGTGCAGTGCATTAGTGGATTGTGACCAGCTTAGCCACCAACTACAATTTAATAAAATAGATTAATCAGAGTACACTGCAAAGGGTTACTCCGTGAAACTTCGATTCTAGGTAAGTGTGTGTAGCTTCTTGGTCACTCAGGAGAGAATGCCCTGGAAGAGTCCTAAGGATAGGAGGGAGCTGCACGCTGGGCCCAGAGACCGGAAAGGGGAAGGTTCCCACGGCCTCACGCCGGAGGGAGAGGCGGAGAGCACGTGCGCGGCGCGGGCCTGCGGCGCCCGGTTGGAGGCCGGGTTTGCGCGCTGGGCCGGGAGCGCGCGGCAGCCGGGACTCCCCGTGCGCTGTGCGCGGAGGCCGCCCAGTTGCTAGGCAACCGCGTCCCGCTTCCAGGCGGTTTCTGCGCGAGCCCTCTTCTACCACCCCGTAAAAACTAGTTTGGGGGAGCTTTACCTTCTGAGGACGCCGCCGAGGAGAGACGCATTGAGGCATTCAGGGGGCGAAAGCCGTCTTTGAACTTCCCCCACCGTTACTTTGTACTTTGAAGTTGAACTGAGCAGAGACAGACGGCCAGGAACTGAGCAAAACACCTCGCCGGTGTTGACGGACATGCCTCCCAGGAAACCATCTTTATTCATCATCAGAGAAGTCACAGATTTGGGAGGAACTGGAACTAGAGAGAGAAAAAAAAATGCCATAAAGGAGACCGGTTTCGATTCCGGTGACCGGCTGACAGAATGTGTCGGTGCGTGAACAGGGACGAGGCCACAGGACCGGCGCTAAGTGGAAAGCTGGAGGAGGAAGTGTTTGTTCCAGTGGTGCTGCGGTGCGTTCAGTGCACTGTGTACAAACACATGGAGAAGCCGTTACTCTTCTGGAAATTTACCCCGTGTGTGTGGAGACATCTGAGTGTCGCTTCCCACGCCCTGATAGAGACACAAATCAATAAAACATGCAACCAGAGTTGGATTGTGCTCTGAAACCGGGCAAATCCTATTCCATCACGTGCTGACTGTGTGACCTTAGACATCTCACTGAACCTCTCTGAATCTTGGTTTCCTCATCAGTCGCCTGAGGGTAACCACATATGGTGGTGAAACCTGAAGGTGATTATCACTATGAATGATAGAAAATGGTAATGCCAAGGGTCTTTATGGGAGCCCCTCCCTCTTTTCCCGTTGGAGAGGATCATCCCCGGAGCGGATCAGGAGGGTAGGCCCATCGCATGCTGTGCCCAAGAACAGCCGAGTAATAATACCGTTAGGAGGGAAGGCTGGCCCCAAAAGGGCTGCTCGTTCCTCTAAAGTGGATCCCAGTCTTGCCTACATCATAACAACAGATTCATTTAGAAATGAGCCCAAATGCTTCTCTCCAGTGAAAGCAATTCTGCAGTGACATGAATTTTGTTTACAAATTAACATAAAGCAAAGCACCGGCTGGTGATTGTTTGGAGCAGTTATGATTTACAACAGGTGCCCTGATCAATCAACCAATCACTCTAATTCATATGAGCTGCAGTCTTGCCTTGCCCCAGTTGTTTCATTTCGGCAAGTAATTGATAACAAACCGCACTCAAGGTATGTTTTATGCAGAAGTTAATAAGAGCTGACAGCTGGTTGCCACTGCTACCCAGGCGCATTCAGTCTCTCCAGCCTGTATTTCTGTTTAATTGTTTCAGTGTCATCTGTACCTCAGGAAGAGGCGGGGCTCAGGAGAACCAGAAGACCGGGAATGAGGAACAGTGAATGGTCAACCTCCCAGTGCCCTGGCGACTCTCGCTCCCTTGGCACTGCTATACCCCATTTTCTTTCTGCAGGCTCTACAAGCTACTGGGCAGTCAACTTTTCCTCCTGACTTGCCCTGCACTTTAGCTTCTTCCACTGGGTTATGAAGCCTCCAGATATTGAAACAGTCCAGGGGATTTACTGAAACATGCATTTGGCATGAAAAAGGAGGCTTCCATCCCCACTCTTTTTTTTTCTTTTTTTTAATATTTTATTTATTTTTAGAGAGGGAAGGGAAGGAGATAGAGAGAAACATCAATGTGTGGTTGCTGGAAGTCATGGCCTGCAACCTAGGCATGTACCCTGACTGGGAATCGAACCTGTGACACTTTGGTTCGCAGCCCACACTCAATCCACTGAGCTATGCCAGCCAGGGCCCCACTCTTAATAAAGACTCCGTCTCACCCTGTAATCCTGGTTGTGGAAAGAGATGCTCTTTTGACCATCTGGAGCCTAGAACTCTATATGTCAAACAAGTTGTATAATTTCCCTTGTATAGAACAAACTAGCCAACACAATATTTTTGTAACAGCTTATTCTCTACCACAGATTCCAGACCTCCACGATTGTTTATAGACTCCTAAAAGCCAGTTAGGCCCCAAATCTTTCAGATATTATTAACTGTACTGAGCATTTTACAAAGACGTTGTGGAAAAGGGCTTTCCTAAGATGGTAGGTATGCAAACTGCAGCATTCCCTTTTGCTATTCCTTAGCAGATGTTTTCAGATTTCTGGCTCTGTCCTTGGAAACCAAGACCTTGTTCCAGGGCAGATGAGTGACACTAGGTAACAGAGTGGATCTTGTGCACGACATGGTGGTGGTGGTGAGTTACACAGGGGCTTCCTTCCTACTCACTCCCCTCATCATATTCTCATCAGTGACGTTGCCTCTCATATGAGTGGACCAATGAAAAATTTAAGTGTGAGTGTTAATCAAATTTGAGCAAACTATGGAGTTAAATTTACTTTATAGACAGCGTTTGGGGTGGGAACATCTATAATTTAATTCTTTTTAACAGCATCCACATCTGTTTTAATCTATCTCATTCCTCACAGCAGTTCTGATGTCCATATTTCAGATTCGTATTTGAGCACTATAAACAATTTATGGTCATGGGAACTGACGTTAGATAGCATTGGAACACTGCTCTCCAAAATATAGATGGCCCTTTGTATTTTCAACAAGGTATGAACTATAGGAATAAAGTGTATAAAAATCTCATATTTGAACTCAGCAACATTTTTACATTCAAATACTAATATTTTAACAGAAAAACCCTCACTAAGCTAAAAGCAGTAAATTTAGTTCCTAGTTCCCAGATAACTGAATACCTCCTGAGGATTGGAATTTTATCTGTTTCTCAAAGTCCCAGATGCCAAATCTCTTTACAAAGCCAGGCCTTTAGAGACACTTTATAACCTGCCCTCTAATTTCACTATTGCTAATTTTCTGATTTACCTGGCAAGAGCTATTTCCTTTGGGGAATGTATATTGCTCCTTCCTGTGGGCTGTACCTTCCTTTCTGCATATACATCATCACCTAAATATCACCAATCCAGTTCGCTTCTGTCAACACACTGCTGTCTGTGGGTGGGGGGTGGGCTGTTTTTTGTTTTTTCATCCCTAGACAACTATTTGAACAGACATGCTTCAGATGTTTCCATTTTTTAATTTAAGCATCAATCATATTCCTATCCTCTATTTTCTCATCCTCAGGTTATAGGATGACCTTAGCACTGGTCACCTAGACTAGAGCCCAACACATTTCCTGTCCCAACTTTCCTTTAAGTCCATTGTGGCACTGTTATCATCTACCTTCCCCTCCACTCTCACATCTGTTTAGCTCAGCTGATTAACCCTATATTTTATTCTTGGTCTTTCCCCTTCTGCTTTCCTCCAGTTTATCAATAAACCCAGAAAGCAACAAGGCCTGGTTGATTTGTTAGTAATTATGAGCACACTGTTCCTGCTCACGGAACCCAGAGATGACTAAGATAGGTTTAAAGCGACAGCAGGAAATGGTAAGGAAATGGAGCATAGCAAAACTCAGCGTGAAGCTTTCAGTTCTTTACATGTTTACAATTTTCTGTGCATACATTAAAATTGTTTTTTTTTTTACCCTCTTCAGTTCTCAGTTGGGTAGCAGAGCTAACTTCTGGATGGAACACCCTCAATACTTGCACTCCTCCTCCATTTTCCCTTGCATTTTGGGGGGAGAGAAGAAAAAGGTTTAAAAACTGATCAATATTTCATTACAGTGACTGGAGTTTTATTTAAGGAAGAGAAGAAAAACTGCTTAGATAAAATATAATTTGTTAATGGAGTACATAGAGCCAAAGTGTTAATAGACTAGCTCTTAATCTGTATTCTTTAAACTTAAGTATGAAATTGTAGCTTTGAGATCTTTGTGTCTGCCTGGAAACAATATCCTCTGTGAATCTGATCTGCTGGTGGGAGAAAAGAGGAGAAATAGATTCAAGGGTTAAGTCCTTCAGAAAAGTAAACGGACTTAAGTATATAAACTATACCAGAAATCTTCCAGGAGGTTGAGTATTGCTTGAAATAATTCTCACCAGCAAAGCACACCTTTCCCTATACTTGCATTGTTTCTCATCTACCTGAGGGTTAAATTATATATATATAATCTCAAGTGTATATATGTAAGTTCTGAAATCCTGGAAAGAAAAATAAAAGGATTCCCACAAAGAAAGCTGGAACATAAAAAAGCTACAAACATCCACTGTTGGCAACCTTTAGGGGTCAAGCCTAAGAGGCTGGAAACTGAGTTTGGTCCCATCACTTACTTGACATGTGGGACCTTGAGAAAGTCATTTTTCTACCCTCTGTCTGGGTTTCCACACTGGGGGTAGTGTGGGAAGTGGGGGAGGGGTAAAGAAGAGTGTATAACCTTTCTAGCTTGGAAATTCTATGGACTCTGATTACTGCCTGGGTGACTGGAATATACCTCAGAGTTCCTAGTTGAATACTTAGTGGATCCAAGTCAGCTCTGGAAAGCCAAACCTCTTTCTCTGAGAGGAAAGTCATATCCTCTCAGAGGTGCTGACAGATTCTCAGTACTTTTTCAACTTTGAAGTCAGAAGGAAGAATTCCAAAAGAATCCACCGTAATTGAAATTGACAATTTTCTTATTCTCCCCCACCCCAGAGAAAGTCCACACCAATTAATGTGTGTGTGTAGGGGGAAGGGGCCAGAACTAACAGGGAAAAAACTGGGAGACAGCAGAGGCTGAGCTGAGTCTAACCAAACAGGATATCCCTAAGACCAGTGAAAATGCCCCACAGTCACAGCATTTGAACTTGGACTCCAGACACTCTGGCCTTTCCAAGAAATCCCAGGGTGTGTGTGTGTGGTGTGTGTGTGTGTGTGTGTGAGTGTGTTTCTGCCTAAGGTGTCAAACCAATTGCATATTGGCCTCTGATTGCACTAAAAACTTTTTCATAAAGCCTAAGTGAGCATTTTTTAAAAAGTTAGACTGTAGGATGTTGGCAGTGGTCATGGTATTAGCTGGGCACCATCCTGCCTGCCCCCTCCCTGAGACGGCCCAGATTCCTAATCTTAACAGAACTGAGAGTTAAGAATGATTTTTTAATGTCTCGTTGGATTTTTAGACTGCTAATGTACCGAATCCTTCTCATTATTACTTTATTGATTGCTCATTGACCAGCCCCCTTCAAATCGTATTAACCACCCTCTGCCGGTTTAGATTAGGAGAGTTTAAAAAGCACCTTTCATTATTCCCCCCAGTCCTGCCATGGAGTTGAGACTCTGAGATTTGGCAGCTTAATGGGATCTCTAATGGGGCAGCTAAGAGGAGAGGGGCCACGGTCCCTGCCGATTGCATTAATAGCTCAAAGGGGGCCAATACAGAAAATTAGCCGTAAACGAGCTCTGGAGATCCTCAAATGAAAGAGCCATTTATCACGCTGGCTACCTTCACTCCACTCGTTTGCTCTCTCTACTGGGAACAACTCATTTCCTCTTAACTAAATTACTTCAGAAATGTCAGCTAAGCCCAGATAGCAAACATAACAAGAGACCTAGCCTACAATCCATGGTGTGATATCCACACAGGTGAAAAGTTGTACTGGTTAAATTTTAGAAGGGGGTGCTTCCATAATAGATAGATAGAGAGAGAGAGAGAGAGAGGAGAGAGAGAGGGAGAGAGATGGATCCTTTATGCCTAAATTTCTAAATTTTCTGGCCTCATAAGTACAAACAGAGACACCAAACCCTGGGCCAGTTGGGGAACTTTTATTAACATGTTAAAATTTTAAAAATCTCTTTAAAAGCCCATTGGAAAATAAATTAAGCAACTGAGTCCCCTGCCAGTTGTTGAAATGTAGAATATTTTGTTGAGAAAACTCTCTTATATTCTCTTTTATTGACATTAAACTTTTGGAAGCATCCCTCATAAACGTGGAGGGAGGAGCAAAGTTGGGAGACCAGAGAGCAGAGAAGGAGTTAATGAACCCATAACATTATTTTAAGTGGTTCACAGTGATTTAGAAAAATAAAACAACCACTTGTTCTTATTTAGCCCATGGCTCTCTAAAGATAAAAATAAGATATCAGGGTCTTTTCTCATGTAATAAAGCAAATCCCTAAAATATTAAGTAATAGAGTTGACCTAACACTTCATATTCATGCCATCCCCCCTAAATCAATAAAGTGACAGGAGTGCCACTTATATGTGTAAGTTGGGGGCCATACAAAGTAACACACATTTCAAAACAAAACTAAATAACTTTAGTCAATATTCCCCTTTTCTTATTCCTGAGCATACCCTTATATATAAATAGTCACATTCTGCTGACAAACACACACAAGCCCTGAAGGGAAAGCATCACACATCCAGGATTATTTTCAGCTCCCTTTGGTTAGGCAGGCTAAGTTCTGAATATTTTTGTGGGCCTGGCTATTAATAACATTTCTGATTGGTCATTGGTTGGGCATGCCCACTGCTAGTCCAAATGTTATTTCTAGGATACTGGACCCCTAAGCTAAGGAGTTCTAGCTTTTCATGAAAATGGAAGGGGAACTAAAACAAAAGAAGAAACAAAAATAGCCAATGGAGTATTGCGTCCCAGCCCTACCCCACCATTCCCTCATCAACCAGCAATTAGCCAAAAGAGGAGACCCCAGAGAATATGGTGAAAGTGAGCTATCAGCACAGCTGTGAATCTAAGCGCAGAGACACCCAAGCAAACCCAAAAGCTGTCACTAAAGACTGAACCGATACTATCTAAAGAAGAGAGGGAGAGGTGTTTGAAGCAACGCTTAAATACTTTTGCCCCAAACCTTACTATTCTTCAGATGTTATATTCCAAAGCCAAATGGCACCGTTTTAAGTACAGCTTCTACCACCCACCTTCCACCTCTCAGAGCTACTTTCTTTGCCTTTGTAAAAGAAGAAAATTTAGAATGTCTCTCCCTTTCTGGAATCCTTACTTCACAATCCTCCTACTATACCAGCTTGACTCTAGATTATTTTCCAAAATATCTTTTCATTGTTTTTGTGAAAGCCATGCGGCTCCAATGAATCATAAATGACTGAAGCTAGGGACCAAACATAAGGACAGGTCTTCTCCAGCATGGATAAGAAAGGGTTACCGTAGTTAAAACTGTATCTCCAAACACCAGTTCTTGCGATAATTAAAGATTGCTCTGTTTACAAATTCAAGCTCCTAAATTTGTGGCATGTGAGTGACATTCAGGCTTTTCGACAGCCACACTAATCGCCAGGCATTCTCTCAGTGACTGTCAGAGAAGAGGGGGGAAAAATTAAGCAGCTGCAATACGCCCGAAATGAGTTATTGTAATTACATTTAATTAGTTTAATTAGTTAATTATTTTGCTTACAGCTGTACAAGAGACTGCAAACATTTGTTAATATCACATGCCCTTTAACAGTATGGGGTGATTCCACAGTCACACTAAATCATGAACGCATATGTAGGAAGATTTAGAAATGTGCATAGGCTGTCTCAGCTTCTCAGGATGCGCATATTTAGCAACACATTTGGCACAATTAAAAAAATAAGAAACAAGTCATGAAACACAGAGTACTGGGAACAAAATTACCACCAAAAAATCAAACACAAAAACAAGGAGAAAAGGAGCTATCTCAATGACATAAGGTTTAGTTCAGCCAACTCCAGTTATCAATGAAATAATTACAGTACATTTTGAAAGCAGTGTTTCCCAGCTAGTTCCATCCATGATGGTAGTTCAGTTACTTAAGGTAGTGTCTTGAATTGCTGCCAAATGTGCCATCAGGAAAAAAAAAACCCAGCAGCAGTCTCTGTCCTTCTGTGTCTCTCACGCGGGTTTTCTACCTGTGCTCTTCCCTCCTCCCTCCCCACTTCCTTCTTCCCGACATGCCCTTTCACCTGGACAGCTGCTGTTCTGTAATTGTGAACAACCATTTGTATCTTATGAAATAATAAAGTCCCTCCAAAGTGAAAACTCATCACGAGGACATGAATGCACAGGAGAACTTCATTTACTTTGGGGAGGGAATAATCCGTACCTTTTTTTATGACAGACTGGTCCAATAGATTCATGCCGCTGTTATTGGCATCTTCAACTGACTGCGAATATAAAAACATCACTATTCAAATTGACTGGATATTAAAGAATCACACACATAAATCATGTCATTCCAAACTGGAGTTTCTGTTATTTCCATTTATATTAATTCACAAAGGGAGGTTTTATTATTATCATTATTATCTCCAAATAGACACAGAGATGAAATTCACCCAAATTATACATTCTTCCAATGGAAGAAGAGGAAAAAGGAAACTGTGAGAGACTTCTGGGATGTAATATTGGTTGAGTTATTATATTAAACTGATATTACATAGACATATAAACTTTTATATTATTTGCTTTTATGGATTATGAAAATTTGGCAACAGCTGAAAATATTTCACCCATATTAGTAAGGGCATTTTCAGTCTTCTATTCTATCCCAGTATATCTTAACTCTAGAGTCATTTTACCAATACATAATAGTTTACGTTATGGGATTTTAATTAAAGTCTGAGCAGCTTGGAATGGAATGCAAACAGCAGCACATAGGAACACGTTTGCAAGGCGCCAGGACCACACACCCACTGAAGTCCATACACATCCCTGTGCGCTATGAACTCTGTGCTGTAGACAGCCCCTCGGAGGAGCCTGCACAATCTGCTCCCCATCCCAACCCTGCTGCGGCTGCTTCCCAGCAAGAAGCACACCTGTTTGGAAGGCAGTAACTAGAGACACAGACACATACAGAGGTCCCGATGCTCCCAGTCAGCACCTAGGTAATGGCAAAGAGCATTCATCTTCTACACCAGTTTCATTCCTCCCAAGGAAAGTTTGCACCCTGGGTGTTGGCAGCACTTCTGAAGGGAAATAACTGTTGGAATGAGTCTCTTACTGTCTGGCTGTGCATACCGCCCCCACCAAAGCAGTGGGCTCCCTTCCCTATCCTCCCCCCACCCAATGAAAATAAACGATAGTTCTTTCTGAAATGTACAGCTGCTTTCCTTGATCCACAGAAATCTGAAGTTGGACCAATTTGTCACCCACTCTACAGAGAAGTAAAAAGCAAAGAAAGGGCTTGAGAACAAGGTGGTGTGTTCTCAGCACCTCCCATCTAGTCATGCTGTGCCCCCAGGCAAGGTGTGTGCTCCTCAAAAGGGAGAGACTGTCTCCCCCAAACAAGCAGCATATTAGAAACGAGATGATCTAATCACGGAGGGTGCATGCTCATTTGTTTCTCTTGGTTTTTAATGGTCATTCTTCTTTTCTCAGAAAGGTGAAGAAAATTATTATTCTCAGTAAGGACCATTTTCCATGTTGCGACATGCCATGCAAATCTTAAGAAATAGTGAAAAGCCTTTTAAAAAATAACTTCATGTAACTTGTTTGAAACACCTCAGGAGACCCCACCATGCCACGCGCGCGCGCACAAGATTCACAACTATCTATGCTCACGTGTCTGCACTGGCAACATGTCCACGCAGGACAGAAACACTCGCCTGTGTCTGTGGGAGGGCAGACCCACGATCTCACAGGCCTGGATCACTGTGCCCCCACACCTCACCCTCACGTCCGTACGTAAATATGTATATACGCCTCATCAGCGACGTGGGGTAGTTGTGGTAGTTAATGAGAAGGCTCTTGTCTGATTTTCTATCTAATTACGGCCGCCTGCTGGGTTTTTGTACAGGATATTCACGCAGCATGCTGGCGCTTAATCGTCACGGGGAGGATCGTAAAGATTTAATTAGGACTGCATGCGGAAGCGCAGAAAAACAACTCAGACTCGTAATTACTAGACTTCTTTAGTTAAAAGTGATACCGGGGGTTGCTTTAAGATACTAGGGTGTGTTTGAGTGAGTGAGTGTGTGTGTGTGTGTGTGTGTGAGAGAGAGAGAGAGAGAGAGCGCGCGCGTTGGGAGGTTTGACTTAACATCCTTATGTTGTTTATACTCATGGGTGGTAGAGGTGATGAGAGGTTAGAGAGCAAAGATCGGAAGAAGAAAAGAGATGCTCCTGGTAGCTAAACGAACTCCAAACTAGGTGTCATCTCAGTCCCTCTTCCTTTCTCATGCTGTTTGTCTGAGTTTTCAACGCTGTCCCTCCCCACCCCCCTCACACACACACACACACACACACACACACACACACACACACTGGGTGAAATGTAGCATACCCAGGAACACAAACAGCGATTTGCTAGTTTAATAGCCCCTGTGAGTAAATTGAAATAGAAATTGACAGGGTTTTATAGTTTCACTTAAAAAATATTAGTAGCATTTGGCTAATTAGCTCTCCTCTCATGGTTGGCGCGGTGGCCATGCGTTTGTGTGTGTGCGTCTGGGTCATACAACAGCCCCGCCCCAAGTGAGTACTCAAGGCTGCGAGGCCCACAGCTGGGCAGCACCTTTGGGATCAGTGTGATCGGCAGAGGCTGGGGTGGAGATCTGGGATTCACACTAGGCCCTTGAGATCGAACAAGTGACTAAGGTCTAGGCTCAAGCACTCTCTGGTTCCTTCTAAAAAGCCCCTCGATGCCAACCCATTCTGTAGCTGCAGGGAACGATGAAACCACCACCAGTGAGTGTAACTTTGGCCCCAGAGCTCCAAACCCTGAAGTCCGAAGTGGAACCTCTGGATTCGGGGGTCTGGTCCTACATATATCTTCTCTCCCCTGTCTTCCTTTGTCACCTGCCCTGTGTTAAGTCAAGCACACTTCAGCAAGATCATCCATGTCTGGAAAAAGTGAGAGGTTGTCTACCCCTGACCCTTTGCATTGGAGGCCTCCCTACTTCACTGGATGACCGGCTGAGGTGCTTCTAGGGAATGAACGGGGCAGAAGTGTGGTGGGGAGGAGAACGTTCGAGGCCTGGGCCTGTAGCTACTCTCCGGTCAGCTCTCTCCACCTCTGCGGCAGGGTTTCAGGGCAGCAGCAACTCAGCTCCGCCTGGCACACCTCTTCCACAGGGGTGTTCTCCCAAATGCACAGACCTGGCCCTGCTTTTCTCTCACCCTTTCCATTTGGCCAAGCACTCAAAACTCTTCACAACTATGTAGTTAAAGATCCAAAATCAAATAAATCCATTTCCTTTTTGGAGGGAATTCCTATGCTGGGTCACCTGAGCCCCTGACCCCACCCCTGGGCCAGAGGGTGGGGGTGACAGCCAGTGTTAGCACTGCCAACAGCAATGGTGATGGGATGATCCACTTTCATTATCTAGCACTTTGAACCTTGCTCAGGAAGGTTAATTTAAAAACTACCCCGAGACACGCATTACTCCAATGCATTGAAAAATCCACAACTATTAAATATTTCCTTTCTCATATAATATTCTGAAAGGAGCAATATCTTTAGACAGGGACAGCCAAGCTTGGTTAAGTCAACAAAACTATCATTCTTATTACTTTAAGTAAATTCAGCCACAAATTGGGTGATACTCCCATTTTTGGAAATAATAAACAACCAGATTTCTTTTAAAACAATAAACCATGACAGGCTATGCATAGACAGCATTCGATCCTACCACCATATTTTACTGTTCAAAATACATTTTTCCATGAAAGTAGAGAAGAAGGACTTGCGCACCCTTCTCCCTTTTCCATTTTTGTTTTCCTTTGCTTCAGATGTATGTCTAAAATGATGCATAATGTATACAACTATGCCAATGAGACCAAAGTGTCAATTAAATACTTTTCAACCATATTTATCTTTCCTGGAGACTATTTAAACTAAGGAGCAAAAGGAGACCTGCTCAGAATCACCCAGACAGGTTTTAGAAATCATTTCTTTGATGTTTCTTTGTTTAGTTTAATCAAGTATTCTCAACCAAATCAGACTCCATTGTGTAGGTTGCAGATGGGATAGTGTGTGGGTAGGGGGAGCGTTTTGAGCCTTTTGTTTTAAGAAATAAACACGTGATGACTTTCAATTGGGACGGCGGCATTGAGGAGAGGAGAGTATTAATGGAGGGAGGGTACTGAAGAGGGGTGTGGAGAATATTTTTCCATGGTTATTTAATGGACCAAAAGGTGAAAAAAATCTCTAAAATGGTAGTTATCCCCATAGACGCCCAAACAGAATTATGTCTTTGTGGGTCTCTCCCCACAAATATTCCATTTATCAGGTGATGACTCTGGAACTCAGTTATCTTGGAAAGGGGTTCTGCAGCTTATGGGGTTAGCTGCAGAAGTGGGTATTCGGAGTGATACATGACTTGGACAAATGTGGCACATGTGTTTATTCCAATGTGCACTGTCATGCTTAACAAAGTCTTTGCAAATCCAGGAGGAAGCTCTGGAGCCTGCAGGGGACCCTGTGCCTCCATGCAGCAGCCCCAGCCCTTAGGCAGCGGGTCTTCACTGTCCAAGTCATCTGGCCAGGCCCACTGTGGGACGTGTTTGGGGGGAGGAGTGCGGTGCATTGGGGAGGGTGCCCAGCTTGCTCACACAAAGCGCAAGAGAATAGGAAGGAGCCAGTAGCTAAGACAAGGCAAAAACATCTACCCTTAATTCTGATGATTCTAAATTATCAAACGACACACATATATTTTCTCCTTCATGATTTCATTTCTAGTGGCTCTACCTTTCATAACTGGACCCCCAGAAATCGCCAGCATAGAGCCACCGCGTTCGTACTCACATAAACAGTTGTATATGCATGTCTAGAGGGTCCTGTTCTAAAGATGGAAACCACCTCCTGCAGAGCAGACAGAGCTGCCCCACCCCCGCTGCCCCTCCCTCCCGGAGCATTCGCTATTTATTTACTGTCTTTTCGTTTGTTTGTTTGTTTGTTTGGTGGTGGTGGTTACCTGTACGTCTTCCATTCCTGGATGCCCAAGACCGTGCAGCGAGAGGCTGTCACCCATGCCCGCGTCCAGGCCGTGGTGCGCAGAATGCAGCAGCACGTCCGGCCGGCGGACCGAGTGGTAGTCCCTTCGAGGGTCGAGGCCGGAGAGCTGGGGCAAGGCGGCCCGAGGCTGGGGCAGGAGAGAACCGGCTTCGGAACCCACTTCTTGCCTCTGCCGTTGTCCCCAGGGATGCTGCTGGGGCTGGTGCAGTGGGTTCAGGGAGTAGGGGTCGTTGACGTGGGAGTAGGGGTCCTGGCTCTGGTGGTAAGGGAGCGGCTGGTAGGGGGGCGGGAAGTAAGGCGGCTGGAAGTCTGACGACGGCGTGTGGGACAGCGGCGGGGCGCTCGAGTAAGGTCCTTGGGACACCGAGCCCAGCTGGGAGAGCCTCGAGCTGTGGCTCGGGACGCCATCGTGCCGGTCCTGGGAGCGGGGAGAAGGAGCGAGAGAGAGAAAGAGAGAGAGAGCGCGAAAGAGAAGGAGGGAGGGATGGAGGGAGGGAGGGATAGAGAGAGAGAGAGAGAGAGAGAGAGAGAGAGAGAGAGAGAGAGAGAGAGAGAGAGAGAGAGAGAGAGAGAGAAGGAAAAAAAAAACACAAGCGACAAATGGAGAAGCCTGGCTCCTGTACGTTCTTCCCGGGACAGGGGAAGCGAGAATCTGAAACTTATACTGCCAAGTTGACTCAGAGGGCAAATGATTTTTAGCAATTCCAAACGCAAGGCTTTGGGGAGGGAAATGGGGAGAATCACCCACATAACCGACATCTGAGCCTTCAGTTAAGAGTGCAAAGCCAGCAAAAAGGGTGAGGGGGAAATAACTGTATGGAGGGACATTGTCAATTCCTTAATTAAAAATGTAGTAATCTCACATATAGAACTTGCTCTTCTGAGGGTTTTAAACAATTTTTTATAACTCTGCCATCGTTCCAAAGTATAACACAGAAAACTTTACACTCTCTGCTGTGCGGCTCCCCCAGCTCAACGTCAACTTCTGCCCTCACCAGAAAGAAACCCAGTGGGCTGCCCAGGAGCTCCCTGCACAACCCGGTAATTCCAGGAGCTCCCAGGAATCTGCCTGATCTGAGCTCCCAGTCACCCCTCCCTCCCCAGGAGGAATTAATTTAAATAGTGTTTGATTGAAATGGATCTCATTTGAAATCATCTCCTAAACCCACGTTAAGTCAAATTGTGGTTTTAAGGAGTTATTTCTAAGGTTGCTTTTCTATATCTAATGCGATTAACTCTCCAGGGTATGTTAATGAAGGACCCGAGGTTGCAAGGGGGTGAAAAAGCCCAGACAAGTTACTGCTGGTCCTGTCTGGAGTGGTAAACTGAGTGAAAAAATGAGGGGGGTCCGAGTGTGTGTGTTTGTGAGAGAGAGAGGGGTGTTTAAGTTTCTCCCTCTTCTCTGTGGAAATGACAAGGTAAAGTCTTCCTGGTTCTTTTTGGAGAAGGAGACACCTGAATTTCCAAACTGCAATAGCAAATAAAAAGTTTTCTGTTTGGCCTCCCCTCTCCCCAGCTGACTCAAGGAGCTCAGACGGAGAACACACAATGCAGAGAAAAGCAGCTGCAGCCTCGTCCAATTATGGTGCTAAATTACCAAGCCAAAGGCGCTCAGAGGAAGACAGAGACGGAGAGAGTGAGGCACGCACACAGAGACAGAGAGACAGAGAGAGACAGTGAGAGGAGGGAGCATGCAATTCTGGTACAACGTGAATCCAAACTCACCATGGATGAATAGGTGTGGACTAACATCTGGAAAAAAAAGCCTGGTTACTGCTCAAAATCAAACAATGATTTAAAAAAAAAATCAAGGAGTCCAGCAGAGAAACGAGCTGGACACAGAAGCAGAGCTTGAGGTGTTTCCAGGACAAGCCATCAAAAAAAAAAAAAAAATCCCCCCCACCCCCGAACAAGATTGGCGCTGCCTATCACACAGACGGAGCTGTTCATCGGTCCCTTACTGTCTTTTTGGCCTTTTTTTTTCTTCTGCCGCTCTCCGGGGCTCCAGAAGCAGTCCTCTTCCACCCGAAGCTGGGCTCAGACTGCTCGGGCGCCCCTTCCTCCCTCCGCTTGCCTACACCGCCTCATAATAATTGATATTCATGACTATTAATATTACACGAGTACTTTAAAGGGAGAATGGAGGACAAATGGAGCGTGAAGCAGCAGCGAGCGCAGAGCTCCCCTACTATTGTAAATGACGTTCATTCAGTGGAGAATTACTAGATGTAATCAGACGAGGGGGCTGGCAAAGGCAGACTGGGGAAAAAGTTTAGCAGGAAAGAGGCAGAACTTCAATTAACTGAGCTGGGGACACGCGTAAAGCAGCCTCTGCTTCCTTGGACAGGGCAGTGAGGGAGAGCATCGCTGGGGGCTTGTATAAAACGTCTTCCCGGAGAGGGACTTTCCTAATGGGAAGAATTGATCGCCCTAGGTGCTTTGTGTGCAGATTACAAGAACAAAATAAAAAGGCGTTGCCTCATCATTTGCAGGGGAGAGAAAAGTAAACCCGTGGCCCCCAACCCGTTGTTGTTTACCGTGGCTTTTGCAGACCTTCGCTGAGTGTTAGCGAATATGCTTATTTATGAAAGGACAGAGGCGAGGTGGAGGGTTTTCGCCCCTTGTACAGCCTTCCCCTCTTTCATGCTCACACAGTCTGTGATTTTTACCTCAATTTAAAATGTATGCAATCAATCTTCAGGTACACTAAACTTATCCTTTCCAGGCAAAGCCAGGGGCAACAGAAAACCTTTTCGGATATTTCAGGAACCCGTTCAACTGGCTTGACTGCCGTTTCTGTTAAAGTTCAACCTTCCTCCCGACTTAAATAGGCTCCTTCCACCAGGCTGCTGGTTTTCCTATATTTTTGAGCAGAAAATTGAGGCAGCTGGAAATAGCTGCACCATTCTGTCTCTCTGTCTCTCTCTCCCCTCTCTCTCCCCCTTTATTCACTGCCCCTCTTCCACTCCACCCCTTCCTTTTCCTCTCACCCTCCCTTCTTTCTTCTCTCCCTCCTTTCTCACTTCGGCAGTTTACTTTTCATAATCAGCGAGCGAGTTACATCTGCTTACTTTTCAGGACGCACTGATACCTCTCTATGTGCGCCCCAAGTTGTCTACACCATCGCATCATCCCCGCAAGTGTCTTGCCCACTTCGGCAGCTCACATTTTTTTTTTAAACGCTATTTCTAGTGTCTTCGACTTTGCCATCATCCCGTCTGTTAAAGAAAGAAAAGGAGGCCGAACCGAAACAAACAGGAGCCGGAGGCGCGGCTCCGCGTTACAGTCACTACATAACCACAAAGAGGAAAGAAAGGGAAACTCCAAGCATCAGTAGCAGAAAGACCCATCTCTCTCTGTCTCTGTCTCTCCCCTTCCCCCCTCCCTCCGGAAAATTGGGATTCAGGGCAGAGCTGGGGGGCCCTGGGCGCTGATGCTGCCTGTGGACGCCGCGAGCGAACCCCTCCATCCCCGCAGGAACCGGCCCGCGGCGTCGGTCGGAGCTCGCGACCGCTTCAGTGCGCGGCCTGTTCCCAGGGTCGGCAGGGCAGCTCGGGGCCGGGCTTTTGCGAGTTACCCCGGAGCGAAGGAGTCGCGTTTCCCTCACTGGTTAGGGGAGCCTCTGTGCGTCCCACCGCGACTGTTTCGCCCTACCAAGCACTGCCCTTGCCCGCCGTCCGTCCGGGAGGTTTGCTTCCCTTTCTCCCTTTTTCTCCAACGCTCTCTCTTTGCAGTCTCCATTGCCTGCTCTCCAGCTCCGACCTTCCCCTTCCCTAACTCCTCTTCGCCTTTCTCCAGGCTTTTTTTTTTCCCCCTCCCTCGACGTCTCCTCGGAGTCCTCGCTTACCCCTTTCCCCTTGCACCTAATTTGGGGCCTCCGAGTCCATGGTGCTCCGGAGCGAGGCTCCGCGGGCCGCCGGCAGCCGTTCCTCCCCATCCTGCCGCGCGCCCCTGGCCCCACGCCCCTCGCCCCGCGCCCCGCAACGCTGCCCGCCCAGCCTGGGAGCCGCCCCGCGGTGCCGGCGCTCGGCTGCCCGGACCGATGGGCTTCGCGGGCGCGGCCCGGTCCCTCCAGCTTTAGGCGCCTCGGGCTGCGGGCAATTTCTCCGGCCGGAGGGAGAGTTTCTCCTTGAGAACCGTGTGCGCACAACAAGGGCAGCACATTTCGCTAAAAATGCCCAAACACCGGGTGGTTTGGACGCTCTGACCCTCAGAGAAGCAAAACCCAAGAAAAGAGAAAAAAATTGTGGCTGCTCCTTGGCTTGTGCTCTACCGACACCCCTCAATCTACCACCCTCTTTTTAATTTTCCGTCCTCTACTTGGATCCGTTCGTTATCGATTTCAGGAATTTTATTGAAAATAAAAATTAAAAGCCCGAGTCTGTTACCAATGAGGCTTGAAAACTTAATTTTCTCCCACACTCAAAACGAGGAGAGCCTCTGCCTTCAGCAGTCTCTCTTTTCTCTGCCCACCTTCCTCACCGAAGTCCATGGGGGGGGGGGTGCGAGGAAGAGAGAGGAAAAATTAAAGAAATAAAAGAGAAATCTTCTAAGTTAGAGTAGTCAGACTGCAACCTCAAAGTGCTTTTTCAGAATAGTAAAGTCTCCCCAAACCAGTTTTTCTAAAAGTTAGAGAAAGCTGAAAAAACCGACCGGAAATCTGCGAGTAAATAGCTTAAAAATATATATCAGTTGGGGTGTCAAGAAGCTCAAATTCTCTATCTGCAAAACTCTAAGATGCATCTGGGGTGTCGGCTCACCTCATAGATATCTTCGTACTTGACATTCTCCACGAGCTTCCAGAGCATGATGGCAGCCTGGTCTCTAGGAGGTGAGTGCATTCATGTGAGGAGCAGATGTCTGGCTTCTCAGGACTCTGCTGTCTGTAATGATCCATCTATAATTGGAAATGGGGGATACACACCAAATCCGACGCTCCTCTCCCATCGCAACTTATATCTGTTGTCTCAAACAATAGGCTGCAGAAGTAAGCCTCAGCAGAGAGAAAAACATTATTACACACACAGGAGTTAGATGCAACCCACAGACATATATATTACAAAAATCATAAACACATATTTACACCCAGAGACCCACATTTAGTTATATAAGCACCCTTGGGTCACACAGTCTACAGATTCTGAACATGCATTTAAAGGAGAGATGGTTGTTCCATGCGATTGATACAAATATACACATTTAAAAACCTCTTTATTGAAAATGATGAATCATTGTAGCCATTAACTGGAGTCTTTAAAATTCACAATGAGAAATGAGGGGGCCAACAGTCTCCCATTTTCTATCTAGATTTTAAAAGGGAGACCAATGATTGAGATTTAAAGCAGAGACTCCTGTTCTTGTGTGTTCAGCAGAAGGGTATTTTTGAAAGCTGGATTTAGGGGTTTTAACGGTGATCTCTCTGTGTTGATGGTTACACAACTTTTTTTTTTTTCAACTGCACCTCTGTCACTATAGAACAAAAAGCCAGTTCGTTTCTAATATTTCTGGTCATTTGTCCAACATATGGGGTAACTTAAATGCTGTACGGACACCCCAGTCTGCACTGTTTGTCATTTTAGGGGTTGTTGGCATGTATTTTCAACAGATTCCACATGCTGTTTTTTCTTGGATGGAGTCTCCATTTTATGAAGACTTTTTCTCCTTTTTTTTCAGATGTTGGGAGCAAAACGGGCACACACACACAGGTCTGCACAACGAGTGAGTTTGGAGCCTTCTTTGCAGAGACAGAGCACATTTCATATTTACATCTGTTGTCTATAACTAACTTTTAAGTGGTTTTAATTATGGAGAGTCGAGAAATGGTCACCTAAACCTTTGGAAGGTTTGAGCAGAATGTTCTTTAAAAGCATAGTGAAAAATATTTAGGGTTTTGTGGGGTTTTATTTGTTTGTTTTGAGTGTATTTTTTCAGTGTGATTTGTGTGTGTATACATATATATATATACACACATATATACACACACACATACAAATATATATATGCACACATAAATGTGCACACACACACACAACGTAAACACCGACAAGAACAAAGTTAACCAAACCTTAAAAATGGGCTCCCTTTAAGGCACAATGTTTCTGGATTTCATCACTTGGTGAATATTCACCTCATTCCCCCTTTTCCCACCCCCTCTTTCTTTTTTTCTATTCCCTTTCAGGGCACTGAAGGATCTCCACAGCCAGAAGGGAAGTCCAGTGGAAGATCTCTGCCTCTAGGGCAGAAAATAAATGACAGGAGGGAATGAGGAGGGACGGAGCAATTTGGGGTGGAAGTTATTAAACCTGATAAGAGTGAATCTGCAAAGGACGATTGTCTGTAAATCCCAGGACTGCTGAGCGCTTCTGCGCACGCAGGGACTGACACTCTTTGGGGAGAGGACTCCGGACAACTGCGGTGGACACTGACTTGATAAAAGCTGACCAGACGCTTCAGATGGAGAATGAACAAGTCGTCAGATTTTTAACTTAATTTTTAAATGATAGGTGAAATCAAAGGAACACAAAGAAGGTGCTTCAAAAGAAACTTTAGACATAAATCCTACCTTAATTTCCAGTTTTAATTTTTATGCTTTGCCTTTCCTGTTCTCCTTCCTTTCTTTCTTTCCCTCTTCCTTCCTTCCTTCCTTCCTTCCTTCCTCCCTCTACTTTAAATATTAACACCTTAAATTATATAAGAACTATACATATTTTTCCACTAGGAGCATGAGCAAAAATTTCTTCTTTGCTCTCAGAGCTGGTTTGGACATAGAAAGGCATTTTTTCCTAATTTTATTGTGTGGCGGAACTTGAAACAGATTTTACCCTCCCTTTCCACACTTTTCAGAACTAAAATAAGTCGCAGATCATTACTTTGCAAAATAAAGATTATAGACTTGGAAATTCAGGTTCTCTAGACACAATTTTATTAATGGGAATAATTGTCTTCTCCCTTTCAAATCAATATCTCCATTATCTTTTTTAAATCTAAAGATCATTCTTACCCAAAATAAATTAAGATTTTACCAAATGCTTTTAACAGATTTTCCATTTATTTTTGGCGTATCATTGGGCTCAAATAGATAAATTCTAAAGCTTAAACCAAGAAACCCTGAGAGATATTAATAGTTTATACATAAAACAACATAAAATATATTGGCATGACTACTTTATAGTTTTATATGTGTATAATTTCAAATTTGCATATGAATTTTATTTCATGCCGATAGTGAGTATTTTTTAAAAAAGAAAGGTCTTGAAATACTTGGTTAAAATTTATAAAAATTCTTTACGAAAGCTGGAAACTAACCAATCTGGTTTTATTAAGAATAAAGCATAAATTGAAAAATATATACATACATATAAAGAAACAGCCAAAGAAATATATAACAATAATTAAAGCCGAATCAATTTTTCAACGTGGGTATTATTCAAAAAATCTTCGAAATTGCCAGGGAAATCTTTCCCAGGGACGTCTTCTCTGTCATTGAACGGGCAACAGCGCCCTCTGTCGGAATTCTGTATAAGCAAATCCAGCACAGCCGCCAGACTTTTTCAGCGATTTCTTCCGGTTCCTGAAAACCTGTTAACGCTAAGGGCATTTAAGTTGAATTCTTCATATTTACCACTTTTAGAAACAATTGTCTCAGCATCTAAAAAGCTCAAACAAGTTAAGAATTGTACAAATAAAAGTTCAATCTCTACTGAGAAAAATTTCCTAACTTGAGCCTAGTTTTCTTGCCCTTAATTATCTGCATTTCGCTTTAACCTCCAATCATGTAATGTAAGAAAAGATTCCCGTAAGGACTCACTAAAGCCAAAGGCATAGGCACAACAAACTCTGGTTTCCAAGGGAAGTTAAGCGACTAAAATATGCATTTTCATCACCATTTCGTTTTTTCGTGTTGTCTTGCCTTGTGCCAGTATTCCACCCGTTCCCCCTCCTCCACCCGGTCACGCACACGCTCGCCCAGGTCGAAGCGTACTAGATAGTTATATTCGTATTTTCCTTTTTCACTTATATTTAGGCCCGTTTATAATAGTAGACCAGGCAGTTAATAATACCTTTCGTTTCTCTGCCTCAGATAGAGGAGATATTTTACGATAAATGTAGGAGCTACTGATGGAAAGCGAATGCACTTAGCATGGAGCCCTCTGCTGGCGGTTTCTGGAGTAGGTTAATAATTTGAAAAAAAAGTTACCAAAAAATACAATATGATTACATTCAATCAAGCTCAACTATTAGCACTGCCATGTCTTATTTCTTCTTCCTTCTAAAAGTCTAATTTTGAATTATCTAAATTTCTCAGACTTCCTTTACGTATCCCCAACCCTGGTATCTGTGATTTAAAGCTTCATAAACTATCTTTCTCTGTGGCTGCCGAATGCACTGCCTTTTATTTTACACGTTGAACAGTTCGCCAGGGTTTCCCTTTTTATCTTCCCCAAATACAAAAATAATAGAATAGCAAAAGACAACACTTAGAATTATTGTGTCAAGGCCCCTGGCCCTTCTCGTTCTCAGGGATGGGGCAGCGGCTTAACAGCACGAACTGCAGTGTACTGAGCTCAGGAATGGGAATGATTGTGAGAATTTGTTAAAACAACACTTGTGAGGAATATTTGATACTGTCGCTTTGTACAACAATTTAATTTCTCAACATTAACTTAAAACACTGTAGCTGGGTGTCAACAAAGTGAAGATTTCATCAGCCAGGGACTTGCTAAGCTCCTGGTTGGCAAGTGAAGATCAGAATCCTGATGGAGGTCTTCCTCCTCTGTCCTCAGAACTTCCCCCACAGCTGTCTTCCTTCCTTCCCCATTCTGAAATTAAGGAGACAGTATTTCGGACTATTAAATTTTTCCAGAGTTTTTTTTTGTCTTGGATTTATAAATAAGCAAAGGTAGAGAGAAAGGCAGACTGACTTATTTTGATGTACCCAGATAGTAACCCCACCTCTTACCTATCAGGAACATTATTGTCCACTGAGTTGACTTGTCAGACATGACAAAGACAGATACCATATGATCTCACCTATAAGTGGAACCTAATCAACAAAACAAAAAAGCAAGCAAAACAGAACCAGAGACATTGAAATAAAGAACAAATTGACAGGAACCAGAGGGGAGGGGAGAGAGATAATGGAGGAAAGAAGGGGAAGGGTTGTCAAGGAACACCTGTAAAGGCCCATGGGCAAAGCCAAAGGGGAATGGGATCTAGGGTGGGAGGTGGGGGTAGGAGGAAAGGGGGGCAGGGGAAAGTGGTGGCTAGAAAATGGAGACAACTGTACTTGAACAACAATAAAAAGGAAATAAAATTAAATTTAAAAACTGACAGCTTTCATTGTGACAACCTGACTCTATTTTTCTCCTCTGTTTCTAGCTCAAGGTTTCTCATGATCTTGTTTTTGGGGGATCTTGATTATAGGTTTTATCATCAATTTGGAAAAAGTATTGTTGAATGTGTGAAACTATGACTTAAGTACCTGTTCTTGGATTTATAGGGCTACCACAGAGGTTTTAGTGATCTGGGTTTGAGGAAACAAAATAGCAGGGACTAATGTTTGCATTAACAGTGTTTAAAAAGTTAAACAAGGATGGAATTAGCTCTAGATTGACCCTTCATGATTATACAGATGGAGGCCAACATTACAAGGAAAATAACATTTCTTACTTTAATCAATGATTTTGTAAAGCTGAAATCAAGTGGAGGTCAGAATCCCAATTGGGAGAGTGAAAATCATTGGGATTGTGGAAATTCCTCCTTTCTCTTGGACTTTGGAGGAACAGGAGTAATTTTATTACATATTTCTGGTCTTCTGAAGTCCTTAGGCTTTTCTGTTTAATTGTGGAGTATAAAGTTA